TAAAAAAAGGTTGTCCCGAAACCCTCGACGTAGGCAAAACAGTTCACAGATCAAATATGTTGACCGTTTTCGACACAAACAGTTTTCAAATTTTCATCTCGTTTTTACATCTATCTCTATAAAGGTTAGGAATTTCTGATAAAGTCACATCAGTGAAAGAGCTCTTGACATGTGCTATTCTAAAAGTTATAACCTCTTTCTGAAAATGTCCAATCGTTTCTGAGATTCGCGAGTTTAAAAGCGCAAACGCTCCCTGATGGTTAAAATTAAAACTAGTAATTTGACACTATACAAGTTAACTAGTAATTTGACATTGCTGTCACATTAATGTTTTGTTTGGTTCTAATTCAACTTTGGCAAGCCTTTCATTTTTTTCCATTTAATTCAGTCACTCATTCACATTCATTTTCGTTACAATTGCAATGACCACGAAACCATCACATACAAATCGATCCAAAAAAACCGGTTTCATCGAAGTAAATTTGCAAATTACAAAATCTAGTATCTTGATCAGCCAAATTAACAACGCAGATAAATTAATATGTCCAAACCAAGCGATAAAAAATATTAAACCTGAATGTAAAGAAAATGTTTATAAAACTATGAAAAACATTAATAGCAGTTTGATGGGTGATTAGTATAATTGCTTCAAGTAGCAAAGTCTATGGTCAAATTGACTTCAAATTCACTACAAATGACAACAAAAATCCATTATTTTTCATTATTGAGCCTTTAAACAGCAATTATCACTAGTAAACGTTAAATTCCTAATTGGCAAAAACCCAATAAAACCTTTTAACATGAGAAAACACGCGTGTTTACTAAACAATGTAATCAAGAATAAAATCTACTCACTTTTGACAAATCAAGCCAGGGCAAATAATTTCTGCAACCTTCATTTTTCATGCGACTGATTCTGTGATTAGCCTGCCAAGAACCGCAAATCCATTGTGTGAAGTGGAAACTATTAATTTTTAAGCAATTAACAACAATCAAGAAACATTAATAATGCAGTTTCAATGACAATGTCAAGGCTGGAAATACATGGATGCATTTCTCACAAGTGAAAAATTGGATTGTTGATACAAAGGTGATTCAATAGAAGGCTAATAAAAATTGCGAAATTATTGAGTTTTCCCAAGAGAAATGTAACAGAAAACCGCTTTTTGGGGAGTTCAGTGGGGTGTTTGTTTGTTTCAAGTGTTTCAATACACTGGAAGCAAGTTAAGATTAAATTGCTAAACTCAAAACTCAGCGGCTTTTCAAACGACGGCTGCGAAAACTTTCCACATTTTCGAGTTTGCGAACAAAAAATAGTTTATTGCAAAATGTGGATATTTTATAACTAAACTTTAATAGGACATTTTGAGTGGCAAAAATAACAGTTGCCAGCAAATTACATCATTTTTTTATAAACATGCAATCAAATTCATGCTGCAAGTTCAGGGGTACGGCATTCCGGATATTGCTAAGTAGTGATTAATAGAGGAATAATTGCTTTGTTTTGCATAAAATAGGGAAAAGTTACATAAATATGATGCATTTATTAAGGTATACAAACTTGCGCGATTATCTGTTCTGCCCGCGAGTTTGGGACTCGATTAAAACTCTTTTATTTTCTAAAAAAACCAATGCTTCGACCCTTTATTCAGGTTCTTATCAAGGCTTTTTAGTTTCATTATAATATAGCATAAGAATGTTGATTTTTTGCTTCAAAAATTCCTCAATTTCTCATGGTACATAATGAGACTAAACATCCTTGATAAAGACCTGAATCAAGGGTCAAAACGTCGGACATTTTAATAAAATAAAAGTCGGTTTAAACAATAGCCCCGCTAGCAGAACAGACCATGTTAGACAATCTTCTAGTATGTTTTTCTATGAGTTCGATGCATTCCTCGCGTCCGTGAGCTGAAAATGATGTAAAATTTGAGACATTTTGAGAAAATTTTCATTTTTTTCAAAAAATCCCCTTGGAAAAATTTCGCCCAAAATTGAAAATTTTACATGTGGGTTTTTTCAGCTCAATCGATTCCTTTCGACGCAAGAAGGTCACCAATATGCATTTATAAAGTGTTTGGATCAATAATAAGGAAGAAATCGTCGGTTAAAGATCGCGAACGAAACGAGAGTAAATAACTTAAGATGCGCTGATGACACGAAATGGGCTCTGAATATAACTTCTACCATGCTTTTCAATGAGTTCGATGCATTCCTCGCGTCGTGAGCTCAAAATGATGTAAACATTTTGAAAAAAAATTATTTTTTCAAATTTTTTTTTTTTCAAAATTTTCAAAAATCAAAATTTCACATGCGTGTTTTTTTAGCTCAATCGGTTTCTTTCGACATAAGAAGGTCACAAATGTGCATTTATAAAGTGTTTAGGTCAATAATAAAGAAGAAATCGTCGAATAAAGATCGTGAAGGCTCAAAAAACGCTGAAAATGTGCCGAAAATTTCTATTATTTCGGATCTGAAACTTCTACCATGTTTTTCAATGAGTTCAATGCATTCCTCGCGTCTGTGAGCTGAAAATGATGTGAGATTTGAGACATTTTGAGAACATTTTCATTTTTTCAAAAAAATCCACTCCCACCCTTAGAAAAATTTCGGCCAAA